TTTTCCATGAGAGATATTAGCCATAGCTCAGTATAAACTCCTAGAAAAGTACCGTTCTATTTCAGTAAGGTTTCCATTGTTCCTACGAGATTCCCCAAATTCAGCAATTTGTATCAGTGCAGCTCTTCTAGCAGCAGAGGACTACAGCAGCCATCCTTGCTTCCACAAAGATCAGGGGGCAGGTAGCACCAGGAGAAGACACACAGTGCAATCCTGCCTATGCCAGAGGATGACTCCTACCCTTCCTGTTTTGCTAGGCAATGTGGTGTCTTTAAAGGAAATAAAAAATGGTAGAGAAATTTGGTACCAGATGGCAGTGGTGTGACAGGAGCCTCCTGCCCTACTTTGCAGTGGGGTATCTTCTATATTTCTGCATGTTCCAAAGGAACAATTTTATTTTATTTTTTTCTCTCGCAGATGTTTTACTGATGCTGTCATTGATTTGTACTTTTTTTTAAATCTTCCCCAGAATCATGTAGCAATATAGGCAATAGGTACTATTTTTAAACTCCTTAGCCAACATGACTTCCTTTCCATCTGTCTGCTCCGTAGCTACTGGAAGGAGCAAGCATGGCATTCCGCATCTTTCTGTGGTTTCTGCTCATAAGGAGTAGGCAGGACAAGCGAGGGATTCTTGCTGGAGCTGAAGAGCTGCGTAAGTTAGATTACAGGATGAAATACAGATTGAATCATGTCTCAGAAATTCACTTTCCAGTGTCACGCTGTAGCCAGATAATGCAAACCAGAACTCACAGAACTCTGAGTACACAGGCATTAGTACAAAGCTCTCAGCTTGTTCCCTATGTTCACACAGCTTTTTTTTTTTTTTATGCCAGCTATATTAAAACAAAAAAACAAACCCTAAAAAACAACAACTAAAAAAGCTAGTATTCCAACACATTCCTGTATGCATTGGCCTACTTTATGTAGGCTATTTCTTGTATGATTTAATTACAAGGGAACTGAGGCCTTAACAAAGAAATATAATGAAGGTTTGCTTGGGTTTTGAGGACAAGCTTTGTCATCCTCTGCAAAATATGAATGTCCTAAGCTGTTTGAAAGTGCAGCAAGGAGGAATGGAGGCACCCACCACCACACAAAGCCTGGAAACTGATATATCTGTGAGACTGCTGCTGCCTGCATCTACTGCCCAAGTGCTGACCTGTCTGGGTGTTAGCAACCTGCAGAGCCAGTGGATCCAGTGTGGCTTTCTGCTTGATGGCAGGTGTTTGCTGCCCATCATTTGTTAAGCCTTTGTAAAGGGTGGGGATGGGGCTGTAAAAGTACTGAAGAACCTGGAACCCATGTTTTGTATTGCACTATAAAACACACTAGCTGTGCTCCCCAAAAACCAGGAAGGTATCCATCCTGGAAAGAGCAAGAGACTGCAGGAAAAGGCACTTGACAAGCTGTGTCCAGGCAAAAGGCACTGTCAGGCAGTCCTGCAGATTCAGCCATGTTTTCACCAGTGCAGCTGAAGGTCAGTGAGATGAATAGAGTCACACCAGGCACCAATAACAGTGTGTCAGGAACAATAATCATAGCTCTGAAGTATTGAATATTGTTAACTTACCTGCTGACTGCATTAAAATAAGGAATGCTATGCCACTGGAGGCAGAGCAGGGTGAGAATGTCCTGCCTTTGTTTCATCAGCTGTATTAGCTTTTCTTTTGTGGACAATGCCCTGCTACCAGTTAATTTACATGTACTTTGCTTAGACTTTTGTAGAGGACATGATGTACTAAGCCAACATATCTGAGGGCAGAAATTTATGTATTTTATCGGAATTATAAAAAGTAAGAGGAAGAGTTGGCATAAGGCCTTAATTTTTTCCTTGTATTTCAGTGCTCTTCTATCCATTTTACTGCATGCACTTCCACTATTGCCACATAGGAAAGAAAAAAAAAAAAAAAAAAAGCAGTCTTGAATCTGAGTTTCACAGAATTTATTGCCTGTTTAAAGTTTCAGTGATCAGTTCTTGTTCTGCGAGAAAAAAAAAGTTACTTATAAACATTTAGGGAAAACACCTTGGCTTTCCATTGGATGCCACTTCTACCCTCTTCCTGGTCTCCCATCCCCTAGTACCTTGAGAAGAGCATGAGCACAGAGCAGGAGATGACAGTCATAAGTCTTTATTCACTTTCCTGTTGATACAGACCCTTTCCAGCTGCCAGCAGCTTGAAGTAGGGGAAATAGCAATGAATGACCATGCCAAGTGCAGTGAATGGGTGAGGAGGTTTAACCCCAGGGAAGAGGAGTGGCAAAAGGTAATGACTAGCGTTACTGGGACTCCTACCCTCCCCAGGGGATGGCCTATATCACATCCTATGCACTGTAAGAGTGCTTTTAAGGCTGTGGTCAGGCACTGCTGGTCATGCTGTATGCACCCCAGCCATTCCCATCCTATCATATTGCAGATTGGCAGTACACACAGGAGGTCAGTTTCATGAGATTTTATTTGCCTCTTCTGCCATGTATTCCTAGAGGAAGATGATCTTTGCTTCCCAAAGTAGCTTCAGTCCTAGTGTGTCTTATCATAAGTGCCAGCTCCCTTGTAGGCACCAACATAGCCACTGTTGTCTGTCAAGTCTTCACGGCCAGCAAGTCCTTTCCCCTTGCCACTCTCATCAAAGCGCTCTTTGTGACTGCCAGTGTATTTGCTAGTGTCCGTCAGCCTCTCGACCCCAGCTACTTTTGCGACTTTCTGCATGAAAGGAGACCAGAATTAGGAACAAGCTCAGACAGGCTCGTCAGTGTTAGCAAGTATAACCCTTGGGATGCAGGGGCCCATGGCAACTCCAGGTGGACAGTGGACAAAGACTTCTACTCACGGTGGTGCCCACGCTGCTTGGCTCCTTCCCCTCAATGAGGCCATGCACAGCTTGCAGGGCTTCCTCTGGTGATTTGCCCTTGAAACGTTTAACACAGATCTCCTTCATGGCCTGCTGGAACTCATCAAAATTGATGGTGCGGGCACCCTTGGTCCTGTGGCCAGAAAAAAGAAGACAAAGGTTACTAAAAGGAAAGTTACCGGGAGGAAAGCTGTGTGGCAGTAGGAAGGAAAGAATCCATGGGTGCCCCTTGAGTGAGTGCCTGCCTGCTCCTTTGCCTACAGCATCTCACTGCCTCACTTACTTGACTTTGTTGAATACAATGTCAATGTCAGTGCTGGTCACAGCTTTTCCATCCATCACCCCACACTCTTTGCACATCTTGGAGAAGTTTTTCCCTGTCATGCTGTTGCTGCTAGCAGCTCTGTCACCATATATTGCAAATTTACGGAAAGATTCTTCTAGCCCAGACATCTTGCTACTGTGGAGAGAACAAGTTGGCAGGGAAGGAGCTGCTAGACTGACCTGCAGCTGGACTCCTTCAGAACAAGTGAAGTCACCAATGGGCATTGTCCATTGGTTGCCACAGTGCTGCCAAGGCAACCAACTAGGCGCCAACACAAAACAGGTAGGATCCAGGTGGGAGAGGGCTTGGCCTGGAACCCAAGTGCCTTGTCAGGGATTCGAACCCAGGCTTCCCGTGTGGCAGGCGAGAACTCTACCACTGAACCACCGATGTACCAAAATCTGTCATGCAGTTGACTAGATCAATCTATGTCCGTGAGAGAGGCAACAGGCCTCTGCCCTCCCCCCCACCCCAGTCCCACAAAAAATGGGAAGGAAGGAAGGGAGGAAAAGAACAGCAGTAGCAATTTATGGAGGAAAACTTATTTTACTATAATATCGGAATACAAGATAACACAATGTATACAACTTAATTGAAATTGAGATTAATAAATCAGACAAGATGAGAGAGAGAGAGAGTTCCCGGGACCGATTCAAACCTGAAAAGCTTGTAACGGCCAGGAAAGCACCTCCAGCACCCACTGCAAGGCAGCAAGAGAGCCCCCCCCACCCGGAAGGGCCAGATCCCGTGACTACTGTAATGTACAGGGATAGGTACCTGGGACTGGGGCAGTGACACTTTAATGCCCCGTACACTACATGATGTTTTGATGTGGAATACTGAAACCCAAAAACAAAAAAACAGAACCATGACACCAAGGGGTGCAAAAGGGGGGTGAAAGTAAGGCTTTGGGCCGTGATGGTCTTCTTGCTCTCAATGCCCGAGACTTGTGAGTCATTTTGATCTCCGTCAATGGGACTTCACCTTCACTAAATCAGATGCGCTCCAGCACACACTGGCTGGATATTCCAGCCAGATTACAACTCATTTCCCATCCTACAGACTCCTGTAAACCCTGCATTCATTCCCTCAGATCCCCACTTCTAAGTTAGCACCTACCCCCCTGCCTTCAGCCTTAACAGTTTTTACAGACGGCTCAGGTTGCACGGGCTGTGCAGTATCGGTATGGCAGGGGGAGAATGGGCGCTGGGAGGAGGATGTTTTCATTACAGAGGGATCAGCTCAGATTGTTGAGTTAACCACGGTCATGAGGGTTTTTGAACGTTTTTTGTAACCCATTAATATTGTTACTGACTCTGCTTATGTTGCAGGTGTAGTGATGCATATAGAAGGGGCTTACCTGAAGGAAGTCTCTAACCCTTGCTTGTTCGCACTATTACTGCGTTTACAAGAAGCAATTGTCAAACATATACACCTTTATTTCATTCAGCACGTCCGATCCCAGTCTTCATGTTGGTTGGTGCTCGGCCGAACATGAGCCAACAGTGTGCCCAGGTGGCCAAGAGGGCCAACAGCATCCTGGCCTGCATTAGAAATAGCGTGACCAGCAGGAACAGGGAGTACTCAGTATTCCTTCTACTCAGCTCTGGTGAGGCTGCACCTCGAGTACTGTGTTCAGTTTTGGGCCCCTCACTACAGGAAAGACATTGAGGCCCTGGAGCAGGTCCAGAGAAGGGCAACGAAACTGGTGAGGGGTCTGGAGCACAAACCTTATGAGGAGAGGCTGAGGGAGCTGGGCTTGTTCAGTCTGGAGAAGAGGAGGCTCAGGGGAGACCTCATTGCACTCTACAACTTCCTGAAGGGAGGTTGTGGTGAAGAAGGATTTGGCCTCTTCTCCCAGGCAACAAACAGGACCTGAGGAAATGACCATAAGCTGTGTGAGGGGAGATCTTGATTAGACGTAAGGAAAAGCTTTTTCTCTCAGAGAGTGGCCAGGCACTGGAATGGCCTGCCAAGGGACATGGTAAAGTCGCTGTCCCTGGCAGTGTTCAGCAGGTGCTACAAGATATGGTTAGTAATGGTGATAGGAGGATAGTTGATGATCTTGTATGTCCGTTCCAACCTTGTGATTCTATGATTCTTTGATACTATGAAATTCTAATTACCAAATGAGACATTCTAAATCTGTCAAAACGAGCTGCTTGTATTACATCTAGACCCTGAAAACCTCAAAAGATGGAAGATGAAGGTAAATCAGAATTCGCATACAGAGATGTACCCATTCTACAAGCCCTCTGTGCATGATTTGAGATCATGTGTTTCTGCAGTAAAATTGTCTCTTTCCTAATCGCTGAATGGATGAAGAACAAAGTTTTCCTTAAAACAAGAGTCCGCTGTGAAAGTGTAATGCATAGTTCAAGTTTGAAAGGCAATGATTTTAGCTGTCTTGCTGAACAAATACAACGTCTGATGCAGATGTGTGGAGAAAAAGAAAGAACAGAGGAATGTGTCGATGCCTAGGCTTGAAAGAGAAGTTATACAGAACAGTCAAAAGAACAAGAACTCTGCACTGAAAAAAACCGAAACCACTTTTCAGAAATTAAATAGAACTGAAGAGACCAAACTTGCTGCTTTCTGTGTATAAATAGTTTATGGGGTTTCTTTTCAGTATCTTCTTTTGTGCATTTTACTAATTTGTCAGGCATATACACAGACAACAAGAAAACCTCTTTTGGATACATAAATAAAACTTTTGTTCAAGGCAGTAAAATAGAACAAGTTCAATAAACACTAACTGTAGTTTTATAAATACTCTTGTACTGAGAATTTTCAGCCTGGGTAAATCCCATGCAGTCTCTCTTTCTAATCTCTCTAAGCGGAAAACCTGTGTCATTTTGTAGTGAAGTGACTTCGCCTATTTGCCTCAATCTATCTCATGTGAGCCAGAGGGCCTGGTTCTTTACTTGAGAGCTAACATCAAAAACTCTTTTTCTCCATTCTTCTAGGGCCTCTGGTGATCTGAAGACATAGTTTTCTTGATTTCCAGGCCTATAAAAGTCTATCATATTTTTTTCCAATTCTCATCTCTTCCACTTTTGCTTCACAGTGCTGCTCCTAGAAAATGGAAAAACCTACTGTGATCAGTGATTCTTCTAAAACAAGCAAACTTCTAACGTACCACAAGACATTGTTTTAGGCTTACAGAAATTGAGAAGCAGGAGAGAGGGAACACTCATTTTCTAGATTTACAGCTAGTAAAATGACTAATATTTAACTTTAAGAAATAGTGGTATTTTCCAGACCGCTTAGGAAAAGCTGAGAGTCTACAGTTCTCAAGCAGTGCAAGTCAATGGAGGCAGACGCCTGAGGCAGCATGTATGACTGCAGTACATTTGAACTTTCCAAGGGAGGGAAATCCACTGACTGCAAAGCAAGCATCACTGGCCTTGTCAGAAGCAGCAATCCAGGGCACAGAGAGATGCTGCCATCATTCCACTGATGCCAATACCCAGTTTTTGCTTCTTTGAATGTGTTGCCTTGCAGTTTCACAGCTCACTTTGGCAGTACTTGATCCATAAAACCAGAAAGAAAGACAAGGGAGCAGAATCAGTTTTCAGTTAAGTCTGAAATTCACAGAATAAAAGGAAAAGCCTTTTCTGGCTAAGAACATTCTGCTTTCAGAAGCAGCAGTCTTGCATGATTTCACTGCTTGAGCCATATGGTATCATTCTGAGCAATTGAGATGATCTGTGGCATGATTATTACCCTGGGAAAAAAGAAAAAAAAGTATGCAGTGGTTAACAGCTGTTACTGGCTGAATATTCTGCAGATGTGCCATCCTGCTCCCATCCAGGTTGAGAGGGCCACAGTGTGTTTGGCAGTTTTGGAAAGGCCAGCAGCAGCTTCCACTCTGGGATTTTGCTCTCCCACATTTTGATGCACAGTCCCCGCTTCCTTTTTGCTTCTTTTCATGTACCAGACTTTCAGCAGGTATAAATCAATCTCCCCTGACACTTGTCAGTCACCACCAGCTGAGGGTTTGGCTATAGGTGCTTATTTTCCTGAAGGCATAGAAACTGTCCCAGGAACCTTGAGCTGTGCTCTTTCCCTGATCCCTCCTGGCAACAGACGTAGGTACAAGGATCCAGCTTAGAAAATACGAAACCACTGTTAAAGGCCTAACTTCAGAATGGAGGACAGAACTCTCCAGCACCTTCCCTTTCTCACACTGTCTCCTTGAAAGGATGATGCCTGCTGGACATGAGCCACAGCCCTGCTGGTTGTTTCCACCAGGCCAGTGAAGTGAAAAAGGCCCATAGCTGTAAGGCCAGGTTCAATGCATGGCATTTTATGCAACTATTTTTCTGGTGGGATCAAATGGCCTGGTATCTGGGATATCTGCTGGAAGCAAGATACTTTGTGGGAGCCTACACAGCTCAGCTGGTGGCTGAAGCCACAACCTGGAACTGCTTCTCAGGACAGAAAAAAAAAAAAAAAATTCAGCTTGCTTCACATAGATATCAACCATACCCTCAGTAACCGTGTTAGGTGCATCTTGAGTAAAAATTAAGAACTGGCACCATACCCCCATGTGCCTCTCTGCTTCCCCAAATCCTATTTTTGAATGTAAAGTCAGAGAAAACTCATGGTCCTGGCAGGATCTTGTCCCTTGCAGTTCTGGTGCCAAGTCTCCCTAGTGTTTGTGCTAGCAGAAAAATACACTATCTTGCACACATGTTGACACTCAGTCTCTGTGAGTGCAGCTGCTCAACTGCCAACTTCAAGCCCTTGTTCCTTACTGATGCCAAGATATAAACATAAACCTTCTTGGCCCCAAGGTCTCCTTTTGTTCCGTTTTAACCCTGATGTTCTTTCCTGTAGATAATTCTTAGGGTCAATTTTGTGATACAAAATCCAGCATATAGAGCCATCTGTTGCCTTTGTCCCATGTGCCCACACTGTTAGACTAGTACCTGTTAGCATCAAGGTGCTCCAGGCACAACCAGGGGGCTGTAAGTTAGTAGAAGGTGTTTTAGACAGAGCCCCTCTACCTGTGCAGAGTGAAAAACACTCTCTCTAATTGCCCTTCTGCTTGCAGCAAAAGTAGTTGTCATTTGTGCCTGCAGTATGATTTTTTACATTCAGAAGTAATGCTGTTTGAGACTGTATGAAGGTAGCACAGAGTCAATATTTTTCTACCCTCCTGAGGACTTCTTGCTGTATCTATGGCAAATATTCTGAACAAAATCAGGGGATTTACCTGTGTCATAGTGCTGGCAGCACCCAGTCCTGGCCTGGATTGTTGCTTATTCAAGGGCATAGTTCTATGTATGCATGACCATAGACATAAAAAAGATAATAACCCTCAAGTTTTACTCTGAAGGACCTGTAAAATTCTTCAGGAAAAGACATTTTAAAGTCTCTGTATACAACAATGATTTTGGAGAATGAACCTTACCTTTTTCAACATGACAGGGGACCTCAGTAATCCTTTCAGCATTAAGATTCAGCAGAATCTTCACATAAGCTATGGGGTTGAGCGAAATGGATGTTTACATATCGTAAATAAAAGTGCTCTTCCATCTTCTCCTTTGTTTATCTGCAGAGAGAGGATTGGCATAGTCTGCAAATTAGCCATATACTTAGCAATGGAGAAGACTACCCAAAGAACCCTTTGATTAATACACTCTCTGTGATCCAGCCACATACTTAGTGGCTCAGTAAACGGCTACGAAGAAGACTCTCTGAGAGGTGTCTGAGGACCTTCACCCCAAGTGTACCACATCATTCTTTGGTGGGACAGTGGCCTGGGATGAGTTTGTTCTTTGCCAAAATCCAATCCTAAATTGCATTCTTTCTCCAATCTACATTTTACTGGAGTGTGGTTTAACAAAGTCATGTGCTATTTCAGATATTTAACAACCAAAATCAGTCAGAAATAGACAGAAAAATCAAAACCATCTTGCTACACTCAACAACAACGTACAAGTTCTTCATAAGAAGTTCTTCCCAGTCAAGAAAACGGGAGAGCGCAGGCAGAAATTGTGAAGAACTATAAATCACAGGGAAGGGGGATGGGAAGAAGTCTGAAAGAGACTTCAAGAGGCCAGCTGTTTTTCTACTTAGGGCAAAATCACTATCTATGTCATTTCCTACAAATGTTTTTTCTGGTCTTAGGCAAGATAAGACAAACGTCATACAGTAGTAATGAAGACCCCAAAGCCTCATCATGCAATCTGTCCCTGCACTACACTGTTTTTAATGCCTTGTGTGAATTTTCTTCCTATACTTCGAAAAAGTATACAATAAAGTGAGTAGGATTCACATTAGAGAAATTTTGTAGAAGGCTGCAGTGAGGTCTCCCCAGCCTTCCCACCTGGGAAGGGAGGGGAGGGGGGGTTTGGAAACTTGATGATCACTGTGGTCCTTTTCAACCCAGGCCATTCTATGATTCTATGAACAAGATCACAAGCACTTGCTAATAAGGCAGCCAGAACAGGCAGATTTTTAGAAACTGAAGAAAAACTAACTATGCTCTAATATTAGACTAATTAAGCATAGAAAAGGAGTGTATTAAAGATGGCACTTCCGTAATTTAAGAGGGACAGTTATTACGAGTAAATACCAGGTGACATAAACTAAGTTTTGCTATACGAATGGGTATGCTAGCATTGTAGTCAGAATTTTTTTAAAGTTAAATATTTATTTTATAAATAATAATAATAATAATAATAGTAATATCTATAAGAAGGTTAGGTTTTTGTCATTTATTGATGTTCTACTCTTAAGATTTAAACTATGACAGCAGGTAAGCCTGCAAGCTGATACCATTATAGGAGAAAAAAAAATGTCATACCCAAAAATAAACTGCTTACAAATGAAAATCAGTCAGGTAAGCTGTTTGAAGTCTTTTCTTAAAAGATAAATAACCTTTTCTTCAGATACATGCAAGGAGAGAGCAGACAGAAATATTCATGTTGGCAAGGCAATAATGAGCAGAATTTCAGCATCTGTGGATTCTTCTGAGAAAGGGCATGGAGAAACCCCAAGCAGAGAGTGCATGCACAAACAAACCTGTAAATTTCACATCTTGTAGATCCAAATTCTGTCTGTCACAAACATTTAGGCTGAGGTTGCAAGGCAGCTTGACACTCTGTTTGCCAAAGCCTTGTAGGAGAAATCATCTCACACCACCTAACTCCACTAACAGAGGGAAAGCTTGATGCAATGCGCCATAAAGATCTTATCTGTAGAAACACAGAAGCACATGTATAAATTTACATTCATGATCAGAACATTTATAGTACAAGATCTGTTCTCTTGTGCAATCCTCCTAGTGTTTTGCAAGAACTGACGTTTCATCTTTTGATATAATAAATGTAATATTTTTTTATCGTTTGCACAGCATAAGTTTTTTCCTGGGCTGAAGGGAGAAAAAAACAGATATCTAGGCCATTTTTCAGAAGACTATGTTCCTTTGTTCACCTTCTCCATGACATGCTATTACTTTCCCCCAAAACAGAGTGAACATCCAGCACCCCACAGTCCTGAGAGACTTTCCTGAGCAGTGTGCTCCACTTTATTGTTCTTCAGCCTCTCTGTATAGCTGAAGTAGAGTGTAACTTCAGGTTTATTACTCATCTCCTATATCTGTGTGATACAGGCACTCCTAGCCAGTGTTGACAGGTACTGCCAGCTTAGAAATGATTTCTTTCTCATTCCCTGCATAATATGTTTGTGATGGCAAAAACTCTACATATAGGTTCCATCTGGCAAAAGTTTGTAACTGCCAACATAGCTAAAAGGAATTACTTTATAAATGCAAAAATAAAAATAAAAATCCAATGTTATATTAATACTGGTCCTCTGAAAAAGTGTACTAACACGTCCTCTCCAACATGGGCAAGATCTTATCTTCATTTTCCCTTTCTGGCCCCTATTTGTTCAATTGAGGCATCCAAGTTCACATATGACCTGAGAGGAGCATGAAGAGTCTCAGACCTTCCACTCACTACTCCACTATATGCCTCAGAGACTGGGGTAGCATGTACCCAAAAAGTTCTGTTCCTCAGCACTGTGCCATCTGAATCCATACTAGACTTGGTAGGTCAGCAGAGCAATATTCCGAATCCGCAGTGGGACCTCCCAGCATTTACAAATCCTTGGAGACCTCTGCCAGCCTCTCAGATGCTCTTAGCAGGAGGCCGATGTATCTATCGTGGCAATTTGCAAGGTTTAAACCTTGCAAATAAATAAGGAAGAAGCTACAATGTAAAACCCACGTATCTAGTTCAGGAGGGCTTCCGTGCTACATTTAGCCAGTCCTTCCTATTTCAGCCTGATCTCTGGGACAAATATCATAGCACCGAGCTCTAACAAACACAAAATCTTTCTTTACATTGCTCTTTTCATTGATAGTTTTGCATGTCTGTGCATGTGTGCTCAAGGATTATCTGCAACCCCCAGATCCAACAACTGATTCAACCAGGACATCAGCTTAGATCTGTCTGTCTGCCTTACTAATTCAATCCCATCTATCGTCAGCTCAGCACCTGGGTGGAAAGATTGTTTTTTAGGTACCAGACCTTCCCTGAAGTACCAGCTACACATTCCACCTCCCTTTGGGCTTATGTCCATGCAGCAACCTTATCCAACCCTCTGACATACTCTTGCTCCACTGCTCTCCTGCTCCCTTTCCTCAGAATAGCTGCTGAGAGACCCTGGGCATGGGTAATCCTTTGGGGTTCAGCAAAGTGCTGGTGCTGAGCATGGACCATACCTCCACAGCTGGAGCAACCACATTTGCTCCACTGTGTATCATCTGATAATTCAGGGAACTAAGACAGAGAAATATGAATAAATAAATACATAAATGAAGATACCAATATCTCTATGCCATTGCTATCTCTTTCTCTATCTCCTTTTGTTTTTCTCACTCTCTTTTCATGTATATGTATTCCAAAAGTGACATAAGGAGGAACCTGGCTAGAGAGGCAGGATGGGAACAGTCAGGGAAAAACAGAAGAAGAGAGGAGGGAATTTTTTATCCTAAGTATTTTTCTGTCTTTGTATCTCTTTATTTCTAAAGATAAAAATTGTGGAAGGAATAATAATAGACTATCCTGCTTCGTTGTGTGTCAGTGTATGAACTTTATAATTAATATGTGTAGGACATATGTAAAAACAAAGTAGAGGTATATGCACATAATCTCATGAGACCCAAATCACCAGCATGTTCTCATTTGTTCTAAAAATTTATGTATTTTCTTCTGTATATCAGCACAGCTGAATTATGCTGTGGACTGAATGTTTTCAGTGGAGGAAATTTTAATCCTTTTAATCTGTTAGGGAGCATAGTGAGAAAGCTTTGACTACAAATTCCTCTCATCTCAGCTTGTATTACATCTTAACTCACACTAAGCCTAGAAGAAGCTGTATTATCCTGCTATATTTGAAAACTTGAATGTATCGTAGGTGGTAATGTGTTCTTCTGTCAGAAAACAGCTTGTAAAAGCCCAGTTCTTGCTCTTCATAATGGGCACCCTTCATCTGTTTTCAGTAGTTTTAAAACTGTCCCTCAGCTTACCTGAAATACTAATGAAGCTCAGTGCAACAGACAGCATTAAATTTGCATGAAGCATAATATGAACTATGTTTACAGATGGAATACCAGACTCACAGTGAAAAGACAAAGAAAATGCTAGAAAAGCAGGGATGCTGACAGCCTTCAAAGAGGGGAGTACAGGCAGAACTGGATGTTCCACAATTACAAGTGTAGCCAAGGGAGTAAATGCAAATGCTGCACAGTCAAACATGTACAAATTAATATTTAATTTATACCACTAGCGATACTGATTAGCAATGCCTGTAAGAACAAAATGTTTTGAAGTACACTCTTACTCAATTAGTAGAATATCATTCTGCATTCACTGCTCAATTAGTTGTTACCCATCCAATTTGCTCAATAGTTCAGCTTGGACTCCAGTGGCCAAGGACTAACAGCTGCTGCTGCTCCTGAGGCTCAGAGTGAACTACAAACCACCAACCTCCAAACTGTTGTAACAAGTAATTTATATTAATTCTAGGTACAGAAGTTCAGACCAGAAAAGCTAAGAAACAGGCCCCACTGAAATTTGTCTCTCACAAAGACAGAAATGGAAGAAAATGAAGACACTTTTTAAAATTTCTGTCTTTTTAATGAAAATGCGGAAAAGTAGTTTCAAATTCCATGCTGCGAGGGCATTTGATGAAGAAGGAGCTGGATGTGGTTTTGCCTGCTCAGCCAGCAGTATAACTACTGTCAACAGCAGCACAGCATAATGCCTGTTTCTTGCACATACATGAGCTTCAGTAACACTACAGAAATATGCAGTGCATGTGGAGACACTCACACACCCAAGTCTGATTATCTATGCTGCTTAAATACATGCACATATTCATAAAATCCCCATTTTTTCACAGTACTGTATTCAAATTAAACATTTATCTCACTTAAAAAGTAATTAAATTTTACTGTCTACTAATTTGCAAATCTGAACAGTAAAAGTAGAAAAATAATTAGCATGGTAAGAAATCAGTTATTTTTTCTGATAAGATCATAAATCCTTTTAATTAAAATCACAAGATTTTAATTGCTAAAGGGAATATTTAGTTTATAATAGATAACGTTTCTGAGTTTAAATTTAAGATCCAATCTAATGCTGTTGTAATTGAGCAATGGCCTCCAGGGGGCAACAGTATCCAGCAAACAAAATAATGTGCGTCTTAATTCTACCGTAGGATTTTCAGGCATGAAAACTATCTTCTTCAGATGCAGGAAAGGTAGGTTAACCCATATGAACTCTGACAAGTCTCCTGTGAGCACTCACAGAGGGAAACACTTGTAACCCATTTCAAAAACACACTTACTTAAAGTTATTAATCAAGATGCAAGACTATACATTCAGGAACTGTACCTGTGAAAACCAGAATATCATCTGTAACCAAACATCTAAAAATCTGTGATTTGCTTCCTAAGCTTTCAGAAATACCTTTGAACTGTTACTGAATTGTCTTACATCCTGTTTTCCCCAAAAGAAATCTAATGATGTGAAAACTACTTATGAAGTTTAGTGCCTGCCAGTGGTAAGGCTGCCACTATTTCTATCATGTTCCTAGGCTCTGCTGGTAGTAATGTTGAGTATATATTCCCAGCAGGGAGGGGCACACAGAATACTTATATATACCTACTCACACGGCCAGGCATACATTTAGGCATGCTCAGACTCCACACTACCACAAACAACAACAGCCTCATCCAGCTCCCCATGCTGGCTGGTCAGGATGAAGGTCCTTAACAGGGCAAAACACATAAAGGCACAGTATAGATCCCTTCAGTAGCTAGTTCCTGAGGCAGCCCAGTGGGGATTGGGCAGATTCTTGTTTCTTTCACCAGGCTATTGTCTGTCCCTCAAATGTTGGACTCTGTTAGACTCACACAGTTAACTACAGAGCCTAAGAGTGAACATATTCATGATGGATCAACCTGAGCAATTCTATGATTCTATCATTCTATGGATGGTGAGAAGCACACTTCTCAATGCCAGGTCACCAGCATTCATCAAGAAGAAAAAATCTTATAAAGAATTCATACAAGTGACTTAGGTACCTTTGAAAATGCCATTTCCTGGAGATATTGATCATAAGGCATCACTATCAGATGGCTACTTAATGGTCTCTGTAAAATATTTTCAGCTCCACTTCAAGTAATCACTGTAATGGAAACCTGCTTTTAGTACTACAGAAAAAAAAAAAAAAAAAAAAAAAAAAAAAAAAAAAAAAAAAAAAAAAGCTAGGTTCTATTTAATACTTACTGTGCAATTATGTTTAACAACCTAGTCAAGATCATGATACCTAACTTCATGAGAAAGGGCTGACCGCGAGAGTCTAGTGTAAAATTACAAGGACACTCAGAGGACTGAAGGAAATATTAACAGGAAAGGAAAAATGCAAAGAAAGAAGAATATAGTCACATCACCAGGAGCACTTTATTAAAAATGAAAGGAAAGGAGAACTAAAGCGGGAAACCAAAGACAGAAGAGAATCGTAGCAGTAAATAATTTGACATTCAAGGAGATAGAGCTCCTTTCTTCCTTCTGGACATCATTCTGAAAGTTCTGGACTGGGGCTGGCGGTAGGAGAAGGGTCAGTTTAGCATAGGATTGTGTTCAGATACTGTCTTTTGATTTTCCAAGATGCACAGCTGACACTGAGATCTGACAGGCTCACTCACTACTTAAGTGCAACACTGACCACTTTGCAATCTCTTGTTTTTATTTCACTTTTCATTATCTACATAGCAGTCAGAATATAACCTTAAATTAAAGATTGTCATGTTCAACTTGGTAGATTTTACCAGGATTTGAGCTCCTGGTGGAATATTTGTGATGATCATAAAGAAGGAATTGTATTTTGAAATGTTTTGGTTTCCATTCATCATGTTGCTTTTGTAGTTCACCATGTCCAGGCTTGGCTAAGCACTAATCTATCATTCACTGAACACACGACTCAGATAGCATAAAGCACAATGAAAGTTGTGTTCCTCTGACTGCAGAAGACTTTAGTATACAAAAATTTCTCTCTGAAGAATGCCAAGTCTTTTCACTCTACAGTCAAAGGGAGGTCCAGTCATCCTTAAAAATAAAAAAAAGTTAAGACCATCTTCCTACATGCAAACTAGCATTATAGAAGCTTTTACAAATGCCTGTAACTGAAATAATTCAGCAGAAGCTAAATTAGACATCAATTAGCATGACATAAGTAAAGCAGTGCCTAAAAGTAAACATTTTATGCATTCTTTAATTCATGCTATTAGTTAAAAGTTGATATTTAAAATTGTTGGAGGGAGAAGGAAAACTGTGTTGTATAAATAATAAATAAATTGCATAATATATATAAATATATATATTATATATGTATAAATAATATGTATAAGTAATAATTAAAAATTATTTTAAAATTTGATGTAATAAAAACCATCTAAGTTTAGATTTTGTAAATAACAAAAGACTCAAAAAATATGCATAAATAAATACATATTTTTACTTCTATAATTATATATTTTAAAATATAAATAAATGTATAATTGCATGAGAGAACAAAATCACAATATCAACATGCTTCTGTGTTACTTAATTCAATAAAAACTAAAGAAATTCCATGTTATTCCAAGACACAAAACAGAGTCCACTTCATTTTGATAGATATTTTGTTTCTTGCTGCTCTGCTAAGTCATGCCAGTTGATTTTTCTTAGAGTTCATTTACTTTTCCACTGGTTATTTTTCCTTTAAGAAGTTCTGAAGAGCGTACCGAACAAGATTTCACAGTGCAGAAATGAAAAAGAAAACTTATTTGGGTATCGGCTATTAACAAACTGGCTTGTATCATTCCTGATCTTTGGTAGCCAACAATTAAAATGTATTAAGATAGTTCTTCAAAAAAGTAGCTAAGAAAGTCAACGTTGTTGAAAATCTAGAAAACAATTGAAAACTAAACCTTGATTTCAGCTGCTACCATGCTGAGTAGAAATATAAAGAAACATTGGTATATAATAGAGAACTTCAGTTTCAGCCTGAAGTTGTATGCATTAAGGATGAATGTATACAGGAGCATTTACAGATGCAAGGCAATTCTCTTATTTAGCAACTGAAAAGAAGAAGCTGAGAACATCTTTTTCCACAAATAACTTATTGGGAATGCTGTTTTGCCTACTGGGGCATGTCTGCACACATCACACATCAGTTGCCTTGACTGCATGAACTCAACCTTGCTTCGAAGTGGACCACTGTTGCAGGTTTTCCACCTGATGCTCACCAAACCAATTAACTGTGCAGCTTGTTTAAATGATTCTTCACTAAGGCTACTAAAATGGAAACTCTACTGGAAATTCAGGCACTGTACAAAGTTTCTCTCCAGGAAAGATCCCTACTCATGTTTATTAGATGTACATGATCCCAATGTTCTTATTTCCTTATTAGCTCCTTGTTTAGTAAACTAGTATTTTTGCTAGTGGAAAAATAGTCGTCAGATAATTACCGTATGGAAATTATTAGTTTGGTTTTATGGTTGTGTCCTCTTTTTTTTTTTTAAAATAAAATCTGGAGGCATCTAAATTGTTTCTTAGCAACCCTTTCCAATTGGCCATTTCCTTCTATTCAGCTCCCCATAGAGTGTTTCTAAAGCTATAGTCAGGTTGGATGTTTCAGAGAAGCTGAAACTTTTCCTCTTCTCGTATAAAAGGTGAGACTGGGCCCAGATACCACAAACTACTTACTAGAAGTGTTTTCCAATATATTAAATTCTGTCCATGAGACTATAAAATACTTTCAAATTGAGATAATAAGTGAATTATTGGCAAGAATACTGATAACTGTATTTATTGTTCTTGGAAAGGACAAAAGAGGATAAGGATAGCTTTTCCCTCATTGTTCTGTATGGAAGGTTAATTTTGTCTAAACTGAAGCTTAGTCATTTATCTGACTCCACAAAGGTACTTCTGACTCTCTGCATCTGCTTCAAATACCTTCTCTTACTTTTTCATACCTGTGGCAAGCTCAGTTATTCCGCCACCCCATAATGTGCTCTGAATGCATCTGCATATTTGTAAATATACCAAATCAATATAGCACGTATTTTACCTGTTGTGAGATGAAATGACTTATGCATCACCCTTTTTGGTTGCCACAAGTTCACAAAAATACACATCACCCTTACAAAAAGTGAAAGTCCTTCCAAAAAGATCAGGACCACAGTGCTGATTCTTGTTTCTGTACCTTCCAGTTCTATCCTTCTTCATGTAAAGAAGAGTATCAACCTGCTTTATAGTTGAGATGTTTTTTTTTCTTTTTCATAGCATGTTCAGTGGTAAGCCTGAGTCTTTTAAGTTAATTTATAACAAAATAGTAAAGCAGAACTGAAAAGAGTGCTCTGCGATAGAAAATCTGTGCCAGCAGAAGTCCATTCACCCATTAACTGCTGTGGAAAGGCTCTGAGAGATACAATGGGCTGCTGAAAAAAAGGAATGGATCTCCTGTTCATTTGCTTCTTAAGAGTCCCAGCAATGAACAGTGCACCCTTTTTGTTCCCTGGCACTCCTCCCACTTTAATGGGTGCTATTAAAATGATTACTGTCATTGAACTGATTAGTTTATCTGAATACAAAAATATTCCAAGGAAAATTTCAAAATTCTGCACATAACCTTCAGCACATTTTGGGACTTAAATTTTTGTTATTAGCTCCATGAGGGAATTGCCAAGATCCTGCAATGAACAGTCTCTTTGGCTAGAACAAGATCCTGCTACTTCTGCTGTTTCACTAGTATGAAATAGACTTCATACCAATCAGGAAAGGCAACTGGAATGTCTCAGGAGAGGCACAGGAAAAATCTCCTTCATGCTCTTCTTGTCACTATCTTAGACATAATCTCTGGCTTCAGCAGGGAAATTTGGGTAATGAAATCCAGTATGACAATAAACAGTTTTTCTTGTGTGCTAAATGCTTTTTTTTACACCTCCTTTTTTATCAAAAAGTTGAGTGAAGTTCCGTTAAATTTAGATAACCACTGCTTCAACCATCAGCAAATTACAAGATTAGACATATTCTAATATAAATCTTTTTCCTTTAATCAAGCTTGCGTATACAAACTGAAAATCTGAAGATCTATGAAAACCTTTTAATCAACAGAGAAGCTGGGATGAAACAATTTTAGATGACATTTGGCAACACTTGTTTTGTTTGTTATAACTGTGCTGTTCATATACACTCAGTCTTGGCATTCATTGACAAAGCTGGCACTGGGGTCTAAAGTAACAGAAGGAGGTTCAAAACGGATTTGCTAAATGTGAGATCTGTAATTTATGTAACCTGTTAGGAAATTCTGTGACATGTACCAGCTCTGCTGAAGAAAGATCAGTTTATAATCAAACCATCTTATGACACAGTGCAACACAGTCACACACAGTGTGGTATCAATATCAAGCAGCACCAGTCAGTCAGAGGAAATATCGTATGGAAGAGACAGGCAAACTGGGTTATTTCTTTCTCCAAAAGGTATTTAACCTTCATCAGAACTCTGGAGATCCCCATTGCACTTCTGTGTGGCATTAATTATGTTGATCACTCTTAACAGAATCTGCAGTCTCTTTCATGTTCCTCTCAAAGCCACAGAACTTTGTAGTTTGTTTCTCCCTCTCAAGACATTGGCTTTCACATACAGCAGGAGGACACTTGGTGGCACTCATTCAACGCTGTTTTTATTTCCCATACCAAAGATTCTATGGGTTAATCCAAACAGGTGAATAATTCTCCTGAATAAGATTATCTCATGAACTTTGTCACTACCAAACAGCTTCTGCAATCATTACTAAGTTTTGATTTAATCATTGTTAAAGTCAAGAATGATTTGGTTTGTATAAAAGAAAGCTAAAGATTACATTATTGTAATGAGCCAATGACTAACTATGAGCTAAACTGTTTTTGTCTTTCCATTATTTTGTAAAATCTTCACTTTTCTGCTTGGCTGGGTACCTAGGATTTACTCCCTATTAATGTTCAAATTTTTTGTCCTTGCACATTATTGTCACTGCAACTTGCGTGTTGCAAACAAACCCTTAATGAAGAATCTAGTAACAAAAATACTACTGAGAAAGAGACAACAGTGAAGGAGGTAGAGATTTACACTTTTTCTGTTCTGTACCCAGAACAATTCTAATTCAAACTTCAGTGTGACTGCTATTTGCAATTCAATATTCATACTGCTTTTTGAAAAAGACATGTGGGAAACCTGACATAATTAGGTGAACAAATTCCTGTAACTCCTCTACAAAATCCTTATTTCCCAGGAATTGCCCCAGTTGCTCACAAATTGTGTCCTAAAAACCTGCCAAGTATCATGGGCTTTTTCCTGACAACTGGCTGCTATTCCCATCAAAGCTGCTGAAAGATCTGACAGTGAATGATTTGTCTGTTACTCTTAACAACAGGACACTATACATTAGCTAAGGGTTATCCACCATCAGATAGACAAATCTTGACTGAAGATGCCTCCTCTGTGGGAGGCAAAGAGTGATACCAGATGTCCCTGGAAATCTCCACTTAGTGCACTCGAAATAAAATTTCTATGAAACGCAGGTTACAAATAGGTCACCAGCCATTATCAGCCAAAACATCATTGGTGGGAAATGCCTTAAACAAAAGCAGTGCAGCCAAGCAGAAAACCCATCCACTTAAAACATAGAACCACTTGCATTCCTCTGAAACAGGAACAGACCATTCCAGTTATCTTCAAGAACATGGCAGCAAAGGAGGATTGACCCATAACTTCTACCCTCCAGTCATGGTGCCCTCAGAGACTGATTAATGTGTGAAGCTCCACTGAATCCAAGTTTATGATATCCATGTTGCTAGGAAACCTCCTTCCCAGAAATTTTGCTTTCATCTGTCTTCCAAGTTTCGCGAGCTGCACTTGGATAGCTTTAACTTCTTAGAACGTCTTAGGACAGAGCGTCCATTGCATAACCTTCACATACTTCCATGTACCTTGTTTGTATGCTCAGTGGCATCTAGATACTTGAAATAAAAGCCCTGCTGATAAGGTCCGTACAGTCTTCCAAAATGATCTGTGTTAAAATCCAGCATGTTCTTTTCACAAAGAGCAAAAATCATAGTAGTCTAAAAGATGTATGCCCAAGCCAAGCCAAGTTCTTAATCTGAGAATATTTTACTCCTGGCATGTTTTATTCAGAAAAATAACAGAAAAGTACCTTCTCCGTATCCAAGGTTTTCTGCAACTATATGACTTTTCCTCTAACATTTTTTAAAGAGTGAAAAAAAAACGAAAACAAACAAACAAAAAAAAACGACAAAAAAAAAAACTTGTGTTTTAACAGAAACCCAAGAAAACAAAATGTGATGAACAAGAGAGCTGCATTCAATAAACCAAATGTCTCTCACACTGATAGCTATTTTGCAGCACCCAGTACAGAGCAAGTTACACAGCGCCTGCCCATGCTCTTACCTCTGGGACAGCTCATGGCGTGCAGCAAAGAGGAACACAGTTCTTTATCCCTCTAATGGTCTGTCCCTGGGAGGAAGATAGGGCTGTGTTGTGCGTAAATGTCACTAGCATCATTTCTGTTCATACATGGAATTCTAGTTCTGCCGTACTTTACTATGGATATTGTTCTGTTACAGATTAATTACCAGCAGGTAATGGCCAGGTCAGACGCTGATCCCATCAAAGCTCACAACAACAGACAAACAAATCAAAGGCTCACTGTTTGTCAAGGCAGCTGGTACGAAGCCATTAACTTCCCAATAGATGGTGCTGCAAGGTCCAGATTTTTTTACGGCCTGGCTGGTGGGATGCTGCTGCGCCTGCGCTTTGTGCCGTGGTGCCGACACTGCTTCCCACAGGGCTGGAGCTGCGCAGCTACGCAGCGTGGGAGGCTCTGGATGGCGTGGAGAGACAAGCAGGAAAAAGTAGGTCAGTGGTGTCAGGCAGCATTGCTGCAGGGGCGGCTGTGGCGGCCTATGGGAGCAAACCTGTCGCAGTCAGCGTTCTCCCGGCCGGCCGTTAGCAGCACCGCGCAGCATTTACAACCCGATGACTCTCCACTCGTTGTGCTTTTGTGTTTTTGTAAGTACAAAGGCATATTCAAGGAATTTGACCCAGGGAAAGGAGGAAGGTGCTTAAAAGTTAAACATGATTTGAAACTCAGCCTATACCACAGCTTTTATAATCAGCTTGTGACATGCTTGGCACTAAACACTGTTTACGTCCACAATTAATACAGTTATTGCTACGTTAGTAACTGTGGCAGCCAGCCATGTGCATAGGCTGGCACATGGGTGCGTTCTGGTAACTGAAGAAGCACACTTTCTCTTCAGAGCACACAGCCGGGTCAGCTTGAGCACATCTGGAACCAGTTTAACTGGAGCCTCACTCCAGTGCAGCATTCAGTGTTGCCAGTGTATTCTTTAATTAAAATGCTATGAAAGGAGGAGAAGAAATTAGAGCAAGAAGTGGGAGTGGGAGAGTACGAAGAAAAGGAAGTGCAAAGCTCTTTCCAAACCAGGTCACCTTGTGACAGCAGGTTTTGCAGACTGCTTGAACAAGACCCAGTACCATGGAGTCCCTAAATGTGCCTCTATAACCAGCTTGGCCGGATCTTGTTCCCTCATCTCTCCCTGCAGCTGGACATCTCCACCTAGTTGCCACCAATGGCAGAGTATTGTCCCAGTAGGTGAGGTACAGTGGCAGTGCTGTCCCATAAAAGATGGCTCACCTGAGGATACCAAACTCCATCTACTGCCTGCAAATTCAAGTAACTTACAGATTTTTTTTAAAAAAAAGCTTTTCCAAAGGCAGTAATACCATGTTGCAACAGGAGGATTAGCGTCTCGTGAGCTATGTTTCAACATCTGCTGAAGGGAAATGGTATACTACCCAGGGCGAAGTCATGGGGGTACATTAGAGTGATGTTTTATTTTCTAAATAATGAAGAACAGAGATCAGGAGGAGTAGCCGTTCATGACGTGTATTAAGTGAAACTGCCCTTTTTTCCCCATCATTACAAGCTCATATTTAGGAAATCAGGATATAGAAGGATAGACCCACTTTTCTCCTGCTGCTGAGCTCCTCGCTCAGGAAATAATAATTTTCAGGGAAAATTACTTTTCAGCTACACACAATTCAGAGTGTCTTTTCTAACCATTTGCCTGCCAACCAGAATCACAGTGTTCCAGCATGCTGCTTAATTTCTCTTTTCCTGGCTCCTTAGGGCAGGGATAGGCTGACCAAAGCCAACAGAGACATACATTATTTAGCAGGTTTACAAGCTGGATTTCTTGGACTCTGCTATTTGTTATGTAACACATTAAGCCTTTAAACATGAGAGAACACAAAAAGCCTAGAATGGACATGGAGAACACATGGTTTTATCATTCAAATTATGCAGCGTTAATTATCATCACTCTTCTAATAAGGTCACTCATCCATGATCTTCTATTATGAGCTGGAGAGCAGTGATTGCAGATACAGTTCATGTGGATGAATCTTTGTGGGGAAAAAATGTGGGTGGTGAAGATTACTGAAATCAATTGGCAGAGACGGCATTTTATGAAACTTGAAAGTTATGTGTTCATAGAGAGCATTTCTCTCTTCTTAAGTGGATTCAGTATGCTTCTTTTCCTAGTAGCCTGTTCAGGAAGCATAAGTAAACAGGAAGCTACACTGAAACACACCTAGGTAATCCTCAGTGTTGGATCTGGAACGCTAGCAAAGCTACCAGTCACCGTCAGGTTACCAGATCGATGGTATGCCTCAAAACTAGCAGTGGCTTTGGAGATCAGCACAGAGTTAAACCACAGCAGAAGGGAGAATAGGGAAATTGAGACTTCTCTAATTCTTTCCTGTTTTCTCAGATAAGCAGAAGATGTAAGAGCTAAGGGTTGTTTGAAGATTGTCCTTGATTCACAGCTTGGAATGACTGGCCCATTAGCTACTGTTGTGCTACAAGGTCTGCATTTGTAAGTGGTAGAGCTGAGTCAGGTAGTGCCTTCAGTCATTTGCTGACTAACACAATCTTTGTGGTTTACTTATGCATCCAGTTTCAAAGTTTTACTGCAAAATTTTTGATAACGCTGCTATAAAGGCATGTGAATATCAGTGTAGGAGGGCAAAATATTTTGAGCTGATTAGCTTTACTTTATAAATATTTTTGGAAGCTACCAATGAGAAATGCTCCACTCAAATTCAGCACTAAAAAAATAAAGCTTCTTCTAAAACAAAGGCACATCTGTCAGTGCAGTAGTGTATGAATTTACACAATCTGCAGCACAGAAAAAGTACTTTCTCAAACAAATGAAGTTGAAGCAGGCAGAAAAAAGAACATCATGAAGCCGTCTATGCATTGTCAACAGTATTTAACAGAGCACTTTTTCATTGCCTATGATTCCCAGATACTTGGTGCGAACCGGCTGCCCTTCTGTTCCTCTGTTTCTGAAGCCCAGAGTTGCAAGTGTCGGCTTCTTGCAGTTTGCCTGAAATTAACTATTCAAATGTTGTATGCCACTCTGTATTTCCCCTTTGCAGGACAGGAGGCAGAGGGCAAGAAGACATTCTTGTAACTGCTTCAGAAACTGGTAGGGTTTGCTTGGCCTCTGTGTCCTATGGGAAATTTGGGGGATCTGCTTTGTTTCCCATGTGCTCAAGAAGAAAACCAGCACACTGCACCATGCAGACAGCTTGATAGTCTCTCCATTCCCAAGTTTCTCTAATGATAACTTGGGAGAAGACAGCTTCCCTATTTCCCTCATAGACACATTTGGAAGCTTTCTTTATCCTCCAATCCTGCAGCAGGGGGTAGCCTGCTTGTGAGCAAAGTGTGCAATGCAGCGCAAATGAGCCTGCTCTTAGTCCTTCTGGACTGATTTCTTCCACATATTGGAGTCCTTTGATTGTTGTCAGGGAGACAAGTGTTGGCACAACTTTGCCTTGGTATTTGTAGAGCTTAGTCAAGCAATTGCTTTCCAGTGCCTCTGCACACATACAGCAAGAGAGCAGACAGATGGACCTGGCTTCTTCCTTTGCCAGTCTGAGTTCACAAGTGTGCACTATCTCCAAACTACAGCCAGGAGAGACAGCCAGCATACCTCAGACGACACTAATTGAACTACTCTGAGCTGCAGTGTAGTAAAAACTTGGTGCAGACATCAAATGTAGCCACTGTGAGGCACAGGACTTATTTAGGACGTTGGCCAGTGCATACTGTTGATAGTACTTCAGCTAGTTGTTTAAATTATTCCATGCCAAGATAAAACACCACAGTAATGCTTTCCTGATGCTGGAGTCCTTCACATAGTACATCCCCGAGCCCAGAAATTCCCAGCAGTCTACGGTTTGTGCCATTGTTGGCCTTTCCTCTGCATAACCTTAACATTTTCTTCATTCCCCTCCACCAAGATGTGACCAAACCTAAATCAAAACAGCCATCACATCCCCTGAATTTGCATAATGGTTGAAAACAAAGATAGTGAACTTTGCAGGCAGTCATTTAGGATTAAATCATGCAAAACAATTGCTAGTAGCGCAAAAGCTGAATGCTACAGAGCAGTAAGGGCCAAGACACAGAGAAATCAAGTGACTTGCCCAGTTTGATATGGCAGTTCAGTGACAGAGGTAGAAATGGGCTACCCAGTTCTTTCTCTCAAGGCGGGCCTAATCTCTAGATCATGCTTTGATCTCCTTTTAGTATTAAAAAATAAAACTTCCTCTGTTCATGCTGTAAGTCATTACTGATATTACTTCCAAATTACGGACTCACCATTATCACGTCGCTGTAAGATCAAACAAACAAGAGGGCAGTAAGAGCGGAAAAGAAGGCTTACTTTGTGTCACTTTCTTCCACAATCTGCTCAGCAAAGCCAAAGAGGAAAAATGTGGTTTTTTTTTTAAACAGATACCTTTTGGATCACATCAAATACTTCTCATGGGTGTATGTCAGAGACATTTTCCTACAAAGGTTTTGTCCTTTGCATTCATGACTGCCTGGATGTTTATCAGGATTTTTCATTCCCTAAATTCAAGATCAAACTGGGATATGTATTCTGATAGCACCAAAAGTACTTCAACAAAGTCCACAAAGCAAAATAATTAATGAAAAAAAGCATTAACTCAGCATGTTCCTGCGCTAAAGCCAAAGGATTAATTTCTGCCATCTCAAAAGGAAGGTCAGGAGAAGGAAACAGTGATTGAATAATCTGGCTTTGCAGGAATGTATGAGCTCAGTCTTTCAAATACTATGGAAGCCTTCCCAAAGCTTCCTATTTGGGTGAGGTGTTCTTCCTTCTAGGAGAAAGCCAAGTCATGTCTCTAAGTGCTTTTCAGCTCTATGGTTTCTCAAAAAGGGGAAGTGACCAGGTGATCTTCCACTTACTCCCTGGCCTCTGCTACCACTCCATGGCCTGTATTATAGCATAGAATTTCTGAGTGGCAGCACCTCAACTTACACATTGTCCCTGCATCCTATATCAAGGAACAAACAGACTCAACTAGCAGGCTCCAGCAGATGTGTATAGCTTTATCTACAGGAACAGAACCTGAGTTTGTGAATTCCAGCTGTAACTCCCTCCCTAAAGAACTTTCACGAACCACCTCTCCCTCTGAGCTGAATCAAATGGAGCTCAGCTCACTCTTCCTCAGAGATGCCACCCCAAAAGTCCTCTCTTTCAGATTGTACACTGTTTACAAGAAAATGGAGGGTAAGCCTCTGGCAGCTATTCTAGTTCACAATGGGCTGGGGAAAAGCAGCACATAATTTTCTGGCAACAACAGTGGAACAATAAAATTAATGAGCCGTTCCCATCTGTTCTTAGTGCAATATATATACTGGATATATACCCATCCATGAGTCTATCTGTGATGTTAGCTCAAACTGAACTATAACTCAGTAACTAAATAAATAAATTACAAACCTCAGCCTTTCCTGTGTACAAAAAAGTGTATAAAAGAACTGATGAGAGTTTCACCAGCTTTCAGATAACACTAAAATTGGGCCTATAAAATCCTCCCATAGAAAAGAATAAAAAGAGGACAGATAGAACAGAACCAGTAGCAGC